AAACGGCGACTCTGGTGACATTGGAGGAGACAGAAGATCGCTCCCCTCTCTTTTTGGCGTCGTTGGCGACATCATTGGCGAAGTCACATCTTGTCCCGATCTCATAAACGCCTTCTTAAGGATCATGATGGCCACTCCGACAGAGTAGTGCCGGAAGAGAGAGTACTGCAAAAGGACTGTTCGCATGCCGGCGTGGATGTGGAAGACTGGGCCCTGCTGATCGCTGAGAGCCTGGAAGGCAACCTCGAAGCGAGGCATGTTGACGAACGGCTCCAGTTCCACCCGGTCCTCTGATTCGACAATGTAGGCTTCCAGACCTCGCACATGAATGGCGACTCTGCGTCCATCTCCTGGGTTTTGCTGCTTCTTCCTCGGTGCAGGGGAAACCGGATGCTTGAGAAGATCCGAGTCTGGGTGGACGGTACGGCTGTTAGCCCTACGCCTGGATGGCCGCCGTTGAAGCCCGCCGTCGAGTCTTTGTGCACGGTATTCCGCTGAGAACTCATCGAGCTGGATGGACACGCCGCGCGTGTCATCTGAGATGTCCTCGTCGATGCCAGCGACTTCCACGCTAAAATCAGATGCTTGAAGTTGAAATTGCAGCAACCAAGATGGCATTGCGCGAAGGAAGTTTTGTGGTGGCTTGCTTGAAGTTCTTGAAGTAAATCGCTTCTCAGACTCGACATTCATTCTCAGCTGTCGCACAATCTGTCTGAGACCATCGGTAATCTCAGGTCGCACCATCTTGATGGCAAATGTTTGCAGGTTACCTGATGCCACAACGTGAACATCAGGTGTCGCACTGAGTTGCACCTTAAGCTCGAAGGACTCGGTTTGAATGAGGTCGAATCGGTTACTCGATGACGTCTGGTAGTACAACTCATGTGACTGTATCCTCATCGTTGAGGCTAGTGAATAATGCAAGTCCTCAACAGTAGAATGGAATGATTCCATGTCAAGTGAAATCGATGAGATTGAAGATATGATTAAGTCAAAATCGTCGGGAGCCGCGTGCTGGTCGACTGCTGGCAGCGCGACTCGAAGAACGGGCTCGTGCATTGTAAACTTGATGTTGGCTTTTGGCAGTAATCGTGATATGAGTACGTGCCGTGGTTGACGGTTGCCGCGGTGCCTTTTGGGTTTTGGTTGAAGCATGGCGACGAGGATTGGAAGGTGACGCGGGTCGAGATCCACCGATGGCGATGTCACTACGGAGTTGGCGAAGAGGATGTTGGCATTCCTCTCCTCGGCACCCACGTCCTGTGCCATCTCGACTGTCTTGGACGGCAGGGTCGTCTTGACTGTGGTTGTCGCCATAGGAATGTACAACAGTCTCTCAGGCTTCCCGTCGCCGTCGTCCAGGCCAATAGATATGGACAGCGCTGCGGCGAGAGCCTCATGGGCGATGTCCTTGGACGGAAAGTACATCCTGTGAGACGGCGATTTGGGATCTAGGCGATGCAGATCGATGCCGACCTCTTTCATGGAGGCATTGAGCAAGATGGGCTTGGCGTTCGGCTTTACCGTCTCCACCTTCTTCGTCATGCCAACAAAGCTCACCGCGAATTGGACCTCCTTAACGCCTCTCAGGATAGAGCTGATGAATTCTTTCGAGTCGGACACGGTCTGAATCAACTCTTGGTGCGTGCTGCCCGGTTGAGCAACCTCGTGGATCACCTTCTCCATGAGGATGTCGGCCGGCTCCTCCAACGACGGCGTGCGGGCCGCCGACTTGCACTCCTTCAGTCGGTCAGCGCATAACCGAACCTCGTCGTAGGGAATGTGGACACGGCCCAGCTTCAGAGCAATGGCTGCATCTCGTAGTCCATCCAGCGCCTCATACAAAAACCCATGAATGTTCAACGTCGCATTATCGAGAATTTCGAGAGACTCCTTGCCCTCTGGTGTAAACAAAACGCTACGTAGCGTCATCATCCACTCTGCCTGTCGTTGCTTGTTCTTGGTCTTGTCGTTTCGAGACTGAAAAAAGAAACGAGCGCGGTCGACCATCTTGCGCCGTGTGTCGACAGCCACGGTCAAGCTTCCGAACTGCACATCGCCCACGTCGACTACCTTGATGGTAGAGTTGGTAGCCACAACATCGACCATACGCAGCCAATTCAGCTTGCGGTGCGCCCTCTTTATCCTATCCTTGAGCTTCATGAGGTGTTTCCAGGTCTCGCTCCGGGGCGGGGGGCCGCCATTCCGTCGTATTAAAGGCACCTTCTGTTGTTCCGCCTGCTGTGTGTCGGAATCCTCCTCTGCATCGGTACTATCGGAATCGCCGGAGCTATCCTCACTCTTCTTCCCGTCGAGCTCGCGGATGTCGACGGTGACAACCAGCTCGCTGACCACAATACTCAGCCATGTGGGCTGGGCGAAGGTTGGGCGGTGGACGTTGAGTCCCAAACCCCGAATCTCAATCTTGAATCCATCTCTCGGGGTATAAGCGAGTCGACGGAAAGAGAAGTAGCCTATTCTCTGGATCGATACTCCGGTGAGGATGCGGACGACGGCGAAGAGTATGAAGGAGGAGAGGTAGAGGAGGACAATGACGCCGAAGATGAAGGTCGGGTTGAGCAGAGCCATAGTGAGCCCGCGGTCGATTCGCGCGATCGAAAGCTCGGTTCAGTATCTGTACCACCACCGCCGCAACGTTAGTCCAACAGCTCCCGGAACGGAGTGGGTATGGAGGGGGCAACGGAGGGACAAGACGGCGGACACGGAGGACAAAAAAAGGAGGGTAACGTGCCTGGAGAGAACCAGATCTCTATGGAATCCCGCACGTTTACTTCCGCCTCCAACGATCCGAGCGCGCCATGTCGTGAACCAGTCCTTGTGTGTGGGTGTTTGGGGTGCGTCTGCAGGAGTGGTTGATGATGTGAACTCCGCGGTTGCTATCTTGCAGGAGCAGAGTTCCGGCGCCCAGGCGGTTGCAGTATTTGCCAAGGGATATAACGAGCTAGCTCGATCGTTCGGTCGTTCGGTCGCAGGGCGGGACGGCGGGGAGAAAAGAAGACAATCGGATCCCTTGGGAATGTCGGAAGGGAGAGGGAGGGTAAAGGTTGCTGACCCCAAAAAATGGCGGCGATGCGATGAGGTGCGGTGCGGTGCGTTGCAGTGCGGAGAGTACTTTCCGTTGGGGAAAAAAAGACGACGTATCCGTATTGCGGTTTGTGTGGCAGTCCAGTCGGATGGCAGAGGGTTGGCTCAAAAAAGCCCAGCCCGGCGGGATCGGTGATTGATGCAGCTGCTGCAGAACGAGTGACGCAGCGCAGCCAGGAATTGTTGGATGGATTGGATTGGCAAAATGCGAGCGATGCCGTCTAAGCCCTTGTCCTCTCTTCTTGGTGACCTGCTCGGCACGACACTGACGCTGCCACACACCAACACGTATTCAGTACGGTAAGCCAAGGAGGTACTTGCTGCTTCAAATCCACCCTTGACAGGGAACCCGTCTGTCCGAGCTGGTTGTCAATGTCTTGTCGATACGATTAAATGATGAACGATAACCGGCGGGTTGCTAGCCAGCAAAACAACGCGGCCTTCTTTTTTCCGTTTCGATAGCAACAAATAGTAGAACCCAAGAGGGGATTGGTAAGGTAAGACAAGACTGACTGGCTGGAGAAGCGGCGTCGCGTCGGTGTGGTGCATGCAGTGAGTGCAGGGCGACGGGAACAGGGCGGCCTGGCCTGGTCTGGTTTGGTCTGGTCTGGTCAGGTTCGCTCACTCTCGCAAAGGTTTAAGGAGGCGGCGGAATCCAGGAACAGGGCACTTGGGATTGACGGGTGGTGGAAATGAACATCACCAAGTCCACTCTCGCCAGGGGTGCTCCAGTCGCGGTACTTCTGACATCACCCGTGCATCACCGCGCAGCAAGTACCGCCACGGTGTCACCAGCGAAAGAGACGATGGCATTCACCACTTCCTCTAAAATTCCCACCCCCAGAGATGGTCCTCGCTTGCCGGCTAGTTCCGGCTGATACGGCACCTCATTGGATCGCTGACTGTTCAATGTGGATCCCCAATCCCGGTTCACTGAGTGCGAGAAGTACGTACCCTCTCCCCCCAAGGTGCAGCACCACCTGTCCGGCGCGGCTTCATGTCGCCGCCTCAGATTTATTATCAATTGCGTGCATCCCATCGCTGCATCAGAGGGCCGTGCATCGCGGACTCAATGCGCTCCTGCATTGGTTGGGACGCCCTGGCGCCGAAGCTAGGGCTGCTCCTCATCCTTAGCACGTGCAGCAAGCGCCTCCAATCTCGAGCGTCCGTCATATCGGACGCCGACTGAGCCAGCCTCGGACGGGGAGCCTCGGACCAGGATAAGCCGTCTGAACCAAGATCTTGCTCTTCTGGTTGAGTTGAGATAAGCACTTTACTTAAGAGGGCACGTATGCGCAAGGACCTTACAACGGCCAGTCCCAGCTCGTTGGTGTTGATGAAGAAGCAATGTGTTCCAGCCTCCTCGTGGTCTACAAGGATCGACCTCAGCAATATCCGAGAAGTCCCAGGAACTGATGCTGATCGCGGGTGCCAAGCCATCTCGATCATCCATGTATTTGACTACGTGTATGCAACCCGGAAGTCATTCCATCCGTTCGTGGTCCACTGGCCCTTCCATCGGAGAATTGAGCGGCAAGGACCAACTGACAGCGAAACACGTGAAGCACAATGATCCACCGAGTCATGCCTGCTCATCCTGTAGGTCCCCGGCGTTGATTCTAGATCAGCTCTTCATTGTTTCAAGCAGAAAACATTCCTTAAGTATTGCCCACTGGACGCCGCGATTGGTTTATGTCAAACAGTAAGCTACCCTGAATAGACCTCGTCTTTCTTGATATCCATGATAGCAGGCGTGTTCTTAGACGTCACCTCGCAAATTGTTCCTAGCCTGCCTCCGCGATCGTTCAACTTGTCAAGTGGCTACCTAATCACTGCCGCCAGGCCATTGCCATCATCATTTGCGAAAAGTGGCAGACCTGCCTAGTAGAATGTTCTCAAGCTGGCTGTTCGGAATGAGGTGGTGTGTCCCTGATGCCCTTGAGACGGCTCAGGAATAGAGGTAGCCAACGCCCTCCGTCACTGCTCGTTACAAAATGCCCGACCTCGAGTAATAAGTTACCGCAGTAAGTCTTCGATGATCCGGTCAGAGACGTCCTACTCGCAATGCGCCGCATGGCCACGTCTCCTTCGTCATAGCCATCATCATCAGAATCTCCAACGTAGGCTTCTGAGCATGCATGCCGCCAATCTACTTCCGCAGCCCATATAACGATAAATATCCACTGCAAATTGCTCTCCCTGTTCCTCACTATTATAGAAATAGCCCGTAAATCGTAGGGGATGTCTTTTCTCAGGAGAGGAGTTGCCTGGGTGCCTCGCCTGTGCCTCCAAAGCGTACGGACCTCCCAGGTTTTCCGCGCCTCACCCAACGTAAAAAGCAGAGTCGAGACCCTTCCAAAGCTAGGTCTCAAGAAGCCAGAAGAGACTGATTGATCTCGAGATTCTGAAATTCGCGGGAGGGAAATCGAGGTTGGCTGTTTGGGTAAGTATCGACGCGGGATTGTCATGATGTCTCGCGTGTGGTCTCGGTAGAAGCTTGATGAGTCCGAGGTAGAAAGTGGAATGCAAATCAGAGAATCACCGAGGCTCCCATATCTGCAGGCCAGTGCCCCGAAACACGCACCATGTTCCCCGAAAAGTAGGCGAAGAGCAATGTTGAGCCCGAAATTCGTCATGGCGAATTCTCTGTGGCGCGGGTGAACTCCTTGTAGTTCTGCCACCACGTCGTGGCAAATTTTGAACGCCGAAGGGAAAGGAGCTAGTGTTGTAACAGAATGTGTCCCTCGAAAGTAATCTCTTGGCACCGTCGAGGGCCACTCCCATGCGAAAAGGCTTTGGTCCGTTGACACTTTGATAATTTCCTCCTGGAGCCTACGAAATGCATCATTGCCTTCTCCGTACAAGAGAGGCATGTTGATGTTGAAGAGTCCTAGGAGACAGTAGGCTATGTCTTCCGCTCGTGTTGTTTGTCGTGAAGACGCCCACGACATCTTCTTAGCAGCGCATGCACTGCTGATCTCTCGCGGCTCGCAAAGCGTAGCTGTATCTATGCCAGTAGCACCGGAAATCTCTGTACAAAGCAGAGCTTTTGTGCCGAAAGCTTCCCAGGTCGCATTGAGGAACTCCACGTTTCGAGGTGCGAGCAGCTCTTGCAGCGTCCACCCTCTAGTAAACCACCGGCATTTGGACATGTGTTCCGTTGGAGTGCCTGCTGGAAAGTCCTCCAGATATGCAAAGCAAATTTCGGAAGTCTGATACCAGGAAAACATAGAATTGATGGCTTCCGAAAGCTCTGCGCTACTCTTCTTGTCAATGCAGTTAGTGTCGATCCAGATGTAATCACAACCATATACAAGAGCGATACGGCACGCGTTTTGGATCTTAGTAAAGCCCCTTTTGGCCTCTATCCGGGCCCTTTGGTTTGGATTACCGTCCTCCCATTCCATCCATTCATGCAGGCTGACTTCCTCTTTATCCCACGTGTGTGATAGAATGGCGTAATCGGGACGGTCTGAACCGACAAAATTATGAAGATGGAGGGTCGTTGTGTCAATGAGTCTCATGGCGAAGATGTCGTGAAGGTACCGCAATAAGAAGACGTGAAGAAATTGAGATGATGCTGGTAGGAGAAAGAATCAGGCTGCGTCCAACGTCGTGAGACTGGATGCCTTCGTGGCTCAGCTCCCAGCTGCGTTGCAATGCCTCTGCCCAATCACAATTGCAGCTTTTTTTCTGCATCGGTCAATTTGACAAGGGATAGACCAGAACTATCCACACAGTACTATGAACTGTACTTCTTGATAGGATGGAATGCCACACTCATCGTTCCGAATACAATGCGTGCATGCAGTTCCTGCCGAGTGACTATTTTGACCGCCCCTTTGAAGATGGCACCGGTGATGTCAGCGACATGATCATCGTCGTCACTACAGTTATGATGACTCCTTCGCTGATAGTATCGTCCCTGGTGACGCGTATCTGGACAATGCCACCGAACTCAAGCATTCAGAGTATGATTATGATTGAAGATGTTGTACATGAATTGTTACAGTCTAAATGGTTGGGTATTATGTACGCAGATGAATCGGCAGCACCTAGTCTTTTGGACTTGATGGCTTTGATGGAGGCTCCGGGGCTTGAGGGGGTTCTGCTGCCTTAGCAGCCCGCAGCTCGGCAATCTTGTCGTCAATGAGGGCAATCTCGGCATCAATCTTGAGCATTTTCTCGTCAAGCATGTCGCGATACTCGTCATCCGACAGCTTCTTCAGCGGGCTCCAACTTGATTCGAAGAAGCTCTTCTTCTCCTTGGCATCCGGGGACACTTGTTGTGTCCTGTTGACGATGGCCTGGCCTGCTCCACCCACTATTGAGAACACAATGATACCGGGAATGATGTTCTTGGGACCACCTGCTGAGGTTAGGAAGTTCTTCGCAATGACAAGAGATGCCACTCACGGATAAGGCCGCCGACCATGCCAGCAGTGCCTCCAGCAACAGCACTTGCTTTGACCTTGGATGAGTCGGATGGTTGACCCTCACGGCCGAGGTAATTCAAAGCTACTGACCTAGAGACTAAAGGTTGATTAGCATGTGGACTTGAGGAATGCGACAGGAATACTCACGCCAGTAACTGGAGCCGAGGGCAAACCATTGGATGCCTGATGCTATCGCAAACAGCGCTGGAGTTGAGTCGCGGATGATGCCGGCAGCAATACCACTGAACAGACCGATGGAGCCTTTGAATTACAAGTTAGTGAATACTTCATAGTGTGATTTACCACTCAGATGAGGACCTACCAGTTAGAGCGCCAACCTTCAACGGCGGTCCCATGAGATCAACAAGCTCTGGGGGCAGCAGCCCACGGCGCTGGCGCTGGCGCCGCCTCTCCCTCACATCGTCTTGCGCGTCATCTGCCATATTGATTTTGGCGGCAGGTTGCAGGAAGCCAGGGCCCAGACATCCAGCGACAACGCAATGCAGGGGACGACGCGACGAGTGTTCTGGAAGCTTTCCCCACGCAGATATCGATTATGCAGCAAACGAGGAGATGACAAACAAGCGAGGGGCCGTTTCTAAATGTTTCGGTGCGGCTCAAAACGTTTTTAACCGTGCACTCTGGATAGATGCAAGAGCCGGTCGACGTTGTGGCCCAAGCACTCCCCCAGCAGTGCTGCAGCAGACAGCGAAGCGCTGGAGAGAGGTCGACCGCAGGCTTCCCCTCCCCCCCAAGACTCCGGTTGCCCCTCTCACAGCAGGCGGATTGTTCAATCACGGGTTTGCCCGGCTATGATGGTCCGTGCTTCTTTGGCGGGGCGCTAGGTAAAAAAGCTGCGCTAAGCCGCAGCGGGGCTAGTGCCTCCCACCTCCTGGCCACTGTCGAGAAAATTGTCCAACCCTCACAAACTTTCGACCACCCTTTCTGCGCGGGTAAAACTTCACCTTTCTCCGGAAGACTACCGCCTCAGCATACCATATAAGCTGGGCCATATCTAGTCTGCCGCGCATTCCTGACGCAAATCGCCAATCGACACTCTCGACTCCGGCGCACGAGATCCTCCCTCCCACGGCGGCATCTCGACCTGCAGAATATCCCTCGGATATCCAGCCTCCGCACCACCACCAACACCCCTTGCGAACAGCCGCCTCGTTCGGCTACCACCATTCCCCCGCCTCGCGCCTCGATCTGAATCGTTGCGCGAAGCCCCCTCAACACCGCAATCATGGGTGAGCTACCTTTCGTCGACGACCGTCGTGTCGCCTCAGACCCGTGCTGGCGCTAACTCGTCATGTCATCATAGCTCCTAAGAAGAAGGAACAGCAGAAGATGTCGCTTGGCGACTTCCTGCAAGACCAAAGTCAGTCGCAACCCCTCGACAAAATTTTCCCCCGTTCTCCGAACCCCGAAGCATCCCACAACCCTTCGAACGACTGATTCACCGCGCAGATTATGGACACGAAATACTGACATTGTGCAGGCTACGGAGGATCGTGGGCAGATGAGGTCGAGGATACTTTCTGTGAGTTTTTTTCTTGGGCGCCAACCACATGCAGGAGACAGTCTCGCTAACCTTTATGCAGCCGGTATGCGACAGCTCCCCGTCTCAGCCTTGCACTCTAAGGCTTTCCGTCCACTGACATGTGTTTGCAGGCACTCAGGCACTTCCTCCTCCTGAGCGGGCTGGCTACCGTCCCTCCGGAGGTGGTTGGGGCAGCGGCGGCGGCGATCGCCCTGAGCGCAGTGAGTTTTTGTTCCAACTGCATCTACGTCATTCAACCCACATGCTAATGATATTGTAGGGGACTACGGCGGCTACTCCTCCATCCGCGAGAACCTCCCCCAGACGCTCCCCGACAAGCCGCCCTATACCGCTCACCTGGGCAACCTTTCCTACGATGCCACCGTCGAGACCGTCACCGAGTTCTTTGAGGGATGCAACATCGTTAACGTCCGCATCATCGAGGACCGCGAGCAGCAGCGTCCCAAGGGTTTCGCCTACGCCGAGTTCCAGGACCTCGAGGGCTTGAAGCAGGCTTTGACTCTGGACGGCCAGTCTTTCCAGGGCCGTGTCATCAGAATCAAGGTTGCCGATCCTCGTAAGCATGCCCACGCGACGACACAAATATCTCGACCGTTGCTAACACATATTTAGCCCGTGGTGGCGACCGCGGTGAGTCTACTCGCGACTTCGGCGACTGGACCCGCAAGGGCCCCCTCCCTGACCTCCCCGGCCGTGGTGGAAGCGACCGCCGTGGCTCCGAATTTGGCGAGCGCCGTGCCCCGCGTGAGCCCCGCGAGCCCCGCGAGGATGACGGCAAGACCCGTGACTTCGGCAACTGGGAGCGTAGAGGCCCTCTCTCTCCCCTTCCCAAGGAGGAGCGCGGTTCCCGCGAGGGCAGCCGTCCCCGCACCAACGATGGACCTCGCGAGTTCCGCAACCGTCACCAGTCTCCCGCTGCTTGGGGAGAGGGTCAGCAACCCCGCCAGGACTCTCGTCCCCCCCGCCCCGAGCGTACCCCTACCGCCGCCGAGCAGGACAACCAGTGGAGATCCAAGATGCGTCCTGACGCGGCTGTCAAGTCCGGTAGCCAGTCTCGCGATGGCAGCGAGGCCCCGTCCTCCCCGGCCGCTGCCCCTGCTGCCCCTGTTGGCCGCCCCAGGCTGAACCTCGCCAAGCGCACCGTTTCCGAAGCCCCCGATGTTCTCTCCCCTTCCGGCACTGACTCCAAGGCCAGCCCCTTCGGTGCCGCCCGTCCTATCGACACCGCCGCGAAGGAGCGTGAGATCGAGGAGAAGAAGCAGCAGCAGGCGAAGGAGAAGAAGGAAGCCGATGAGAAGGCCAAGGAAGAGCGCCGTCTGGCCAAGGAGGCTGCTGCCAAGGAGGCTGCTGAGAAGGCCGAGCAGGAGGCCAAGGCCGCGGAGGAGGCTGCCCAGGCTGCCGAGGAGGCCCCCGAGGCCGCAAAGGAGGAAGAGAGCAAGGAGAACGGTGCCTCTGACGAGCAGAAAGTTCCTATCCGATCAAAGGAGCCCAAGGAGCCCCGCGAGGCGGCCAAGACCTCCCGTGCCACTGAGGCCAGCAGCTGGAGATCGGCGTCTTCCGGAGGAGCTCGTGGTGCCCCCACTGGACCCCGCGGTGGTCGTGGCGGTGCCGGTCCTCGTGGTGGCCGTTTCGACAACGCCCGCCCCCCGCGCTCCAACGGCGGCCCTGCTGCCCGTGAGCCCTCCACCCCCGCCGCCGACGGCGAGGCCCCTGTTGAGGAGGACGGTTGGACTACGGTTCCCAACAAGAACCGGCGCAACGTTGGCCCTCGCGGCACTGCCTAGAGGGCTTATGCGCCTCCCACTATCCTTCAGCGTCCAGTTGGACATGATGGGGCAAAGGCCGCATACATTGCGGATAAGCTGCGCCCAATTGTCTGCATGCCGGGCCTAGACGAGTTTCCTCGTCACATATACCCAGATGACTCGTACGATTCTGACGAACGACTTCACGCCATGAACCGCATCATCGGAGCTTGAGGGGGGCCACGATCTTCCGCTTTTTCCTGATATTTTGCTCTTCTCACCCGCGAAGGAAGAAACCTGGCTCATCCGGATTGTTGAAGGAGAAGAAAACCAAACACTTTCCTTTTCACTCTCACATACTCAGCACCCTCGACGGTCCTTGCTCGGATTGCCTCCCCTAGAGGCAACACAAAAGAACAGTCTCCTCGACTCTCAACGACTGGAGAAGGCGCGCAGCTCGCACGCATTCATCGGAGTTTGCGAAGTGGTTACAAAAAATAAGGGCTCATGGATGTTGGAAGGGAAAGGGGTGTCATGACCAAATGTCTTTTTTTTTCGTCGTATCTTTTTCTCCTTTGTTGTCTCGTTTCCCCCTTCTTGCTGTCGCGCTCAGAAAAGTTCGGCCTATGGGTTTTTTCCTCTCTCGACTCGCCAGCAAATCCTCGATCCGACAAGGGATTTTCTGCTCCTAGTGACATTAAAAAAGAAGGAGCATTAGGGAATCACAAATCACAAACACCAGTTAAAACTACTCCTCTCTCTCGCCGCCTTCCTCAGAT